GGAGGAGGAGGAGGAAGAGGAAAGCGAAGAAGAGGAGGAGGAAGAGGAGGAAGAAGAAGAGGAGGAAGAAGACGTTGCAAGGCAGAGAGCGGCAGGCTTCGTCGACGTCGTGGGAGCACGACGAGTCCTGACGGAGGGTCACGTCGAGGCGGAACACGACGCTTTCAGGCCGCCCGACGGACTCGTCAAACTGGCCGATCGTCTGTCGACGTTGGAGGCTGTGACGACGGCGACGACTGGGCCGCCGCCCGCTTCTCCGCCTGGCCACGTGACCGCCTCCAAGGCGTTGACGTCGACGTTGCAACGATCCGATTCAACGGCGCCGGCGAAATCCTCTTGTCGAACGTCGAGTCGTGCCAAAAGTCGCTCGAGCCGTTCGAATGCGTCACGAGCCACACTTGACGCCCGTCTCTTTCTGCCACCCTCGGACCGGCAGCAACAGGCGTTCGACTACGCTCACTTCACCGCCGGACACCCGCAGACGGCGGGACTCGAGCTCGGCTGCTCCAACGCGTCGAATCCTCTCGCCGGACTCAACTGCCCCGGCTTTCTTCTCGCCACCTCGGCAGCACACCCGTCTCTACTCTTGACATCGCCGTCACCGTCGCCGTCGGCGTCGTCACCGCATCCACCACCACCACCGTCGGCGTCGTCATTGTCCGGTCTCTACGCAGCCTCGTCCGTCTCGGGATTCGGTCTTCCCAGTCCCCTCGACCAGATGAGCCCCGAAACCCGACTGCTCGGCTGCACACGGACAGTCGGCAAAACCCTCGTTGAGACTGACGAACCGATGACCGAGTATCCAATGCCGACGGGCGGCATGTGTTTCGGCCAATCGCATCATTTCTATTCGCCCACCGGCGGTCTCCTCTCCGACGGCCTCGACTACGCCGCAGCCGAAGTGACGCCCACTTTCATGACGGCCACCTACTACGCCCACGCAGCCTCGGCACCCTTTCACCCACTCGCCCTCGCCCCCGCAACCGCTTCGCTCAACCCAATATCAATACCAACGCCAACGCCAACACCGACTTCAATGTCGACGTCGACGTCGACGTCAGTATCAACACCGACGACAACACCAACACCAACGTCAACTCCCACACCGATGCTGACTGTCACGGCGGCGACGACGGCGACGGCGATGGCAACGGCGACGGCGACGCCCTCGCCATTGGGCTGTTTTGCATCCGGCGACGGCTACTCCGGTTCTTCCGTCTGCCTGACTCATGCAATGTCACTTGGCCTCGACGACCTGGCCGTCTGTTACGCGGGTCCCGGAGACGCGCTGGGCCTGTTGCGAGGCCGGGCGGTGGGGGCTCTGGCGGAGGCGGGCAAATCGGATTGTCCCGACACCGTCTACCCCGGACATGTGGCGCTGCCCACCTCCCTCCTTTGTCAGGGCCTCCTTTTGCCCGCCGCCTCCAGTGATTATCCCATCTCGCAACTGTGATTCTCTCGGCCACAAACACACCCCTCGCCGTCACTCATACACGCGCGCACGCCTGTCCGTCTGTCCGTTGATCTGTCTGTCTGTGTCTGTGTCTGTGTCTGTGTCTGCGGCCTCGTCGGCTGCCGTCAGAACGAGCCTGGACGCCTCGGAGGCGGGTAAGCCCCAGGACCATTTGTTGCTAGGCTCACTTACTCAACCCAT